TTCAGTGTGGACATCATATTCACAAATGAAGAGTCCGCAATGTACTGTAAACATCACCAAATTGTAAACATGTACATTTACAAATATGTACTGTACATACATGAATTCATAAATTTAGATTACTTTTTTCTGTAATATATTAAAAACTAAAATTTGTTTGTTTGTAAGCTTAAAATAGATTCTTATTAACAATATATTATTAAAAATGCATTTATAAATAAAATACAGAACTGGGAATGGTTATTTGTGGTTTAGCCTAGTGACAAGTAAATTCAGAGACAAGTAAATTCGACTTACATCATTTTTAGACTTAAGTTGCTTCTCCTGGAACCAATTACCAATGTACGGTGAGGTATATCTGTATTAGTAAAAATATATACAAACTAGCATCCCCCATTGCGGCCTTGCCTGCTCTTATATACATATGGAACTTCGAAATTTGAACTAATTGTTCATTAATTATTTTTGGGTGATCAATGTCTAATATTGCAAAATATATAAAAAATAAAATCATAAAACTTCTGAATAAGTTATATTTCAAGTTTTGTTATCCATTGGTATCAAAATTATTTGATTGTTATGATTTCCAGTTCTGGAAAGCCCTACATGCAATTGGCCATGGGAGAAACTCTTCATACAAAGATCCACTCCAACATGTTGGAATGTTTGGCCTTGCAATGTGTTAATTTAATTGTAATAGCAAAAGAAACTTTAATTGGAAATTGTAAACGTTTAAATTGAAATGGTAGATCGGTAGGAATCATTGGGATTCTAGGAATAAATGCAATTTCCCCAGTTGCTGGTCCAGTGAGAAGTATAGCTTCAATGATATTGTCACGCATAGCTGTAATTTGTAACCTGGTACCATTACAGAGATTGGGAGGTTGAACATTATGTAACAACATAATTGGAGAACCAATTTTTAATTTTAATCTATGTGGTGGGAATCCAGATGGGCTAAGACCATTAAGAAACTCTTGTGGATAATGGACTGTATCATCAGTGCTTAAAACTGTATCAATCAATAGATAATCTCAGTTGTTACCATTGACTTTTTCAAGAATAATGTTATTTATTTCTACTGCTGTTATATTTCTAGATGAAATTAGGGCCCTTTCACACAACCAAAGATACGGTTTATTCAATAAATCTGAAATATCAGGATAAATTTCAGAAATCAAATCATTGACTATACTGACTATCTTACTTATGTATTGACTGACAGTGATGTAGCCACTTTCGTCGTCTACTGTTCCATCACCAATTTTCAATAACTGTTTTGAATTCGTTGCTCTTCCAGTCTTTGAGACTGCTCTCACATTGTCTACAATTATGAATAATAATAGCTCTAGAACTTTTCTTCCTATTTGTGCTCTCGCAGCTCTTGGCATTATTTATCAATCAATCTCAAAAATATTCACTTGAGATAAATCCAATAACTATTTTGAATATTTTGCACAATTACCTGCAGAAATTAATGCATAACGATTCAAAAACCCACCATAAGTACACATACTGCCATCTAGCATGATGACATCACTTTTTTTANAAATTGACGAGATGGAATTTTTTTTGTTTTTACCAAGTTGAAATCTGTAAGAAAATGTATAAAAATCCTATGCAGTTTTTTACTTGCAGACCTGTGTAATATAAACCGAAATAATATAAAATTTTCATTACATACAAACTGCCAAAGAGTGACAAAGAATATCTCAAATTTAAGATAACCCAAAGTATGTGTAATCTGTATTTCAAATAAAAATTACATAAAAATAAAAAAATTTATCTTAAGTCAAACTAATAAATTATCATAAATATAAATAATCACATGTAGCATGAATATAAAATGTTAGTAACTTAAAATACTAGTAAAAAGAAACAAAAAAATAGATAAATAAAGGATACAATCTGCCGTTATGGAAGTGCCTTCAATGTTTTGAATATATTGTAGCAGATCCCAGGAAGCCGTTTGTAAATTGTACTGAACACTTATATTGAGGTATTCATTTTTGTTTGCCCGTGCAAGCTGATTATCTGTTTCTGAAGTTCCACAAAGAACTAATGCAATATTATCTTTTGATTCAGAAAAAATCTATAAATAAATAAAAAATTAATTTAAAATAATATATTTTACTAGCAAAAACAAGAATTCAATTTAATTTTATTTTATTTAATAAACAGAATATAGATTTAACATTGAAACTATATTTATGTATTATCATCACATATTTTAAAAATCTTATTTATAACTAATCAAAAGTCAGGAATTTTAAATTTTATGAGCATTTAATCTTCTGAGATCCTGAAATAAATTACCAAACAACAATGTATATGTCAATTGACATTACGACATTTTCACAATATGATATGGCTTCATGCATGGAGTAATATCACATAATGGACATCACCATACGAAGTCAGTATATTTTTCTGTACATACAAGAATTCAAACAATCATATACTCATTACAATTGTTAATATTTTACTAGTAATTTAATTTCATAAATTCCAGTGAAAAAATTATTAATTTAAAAAATAAAAACTTTTATACAGTTTACATACCTTTCTTTGTAAAATCATCCCAATGCAAGCTTTAGCATTTTGAAATGGAGAATCAGAACCTTTGCACATAGAAGGCCCTATGTCTAAAACAATAACAATTGCTTCCTGAAAAAGAAGAAAAAATTATTTTAAAATTCAATAAATACAATTATAAATTTGTACTTTTGATTGCCTCTTGTTCTTGTTTTCATGCTGTTAAAAGCAAGCATAAGATTGCTTCTTACAACATTTGTAAATTATTTTTGTAAGGAGTGCTAACATCTGTCTAATGCACTTGAAAAACTTTGTTGGAGCAATAATTGTAACATGAGTGAAAACATTAAATTTGCTACAATGCATCACACTAAAGTTATTTATTTTTGTTGTTAACTGCCATAAACTCTGGTCCATTACAATGTTCTCCTGGTAAAAGAAGTTGTCCAATGACTTGAAATAATCAACATAAAAGTATTAGAACTATTGATTAAATACAGGATCTTTCAAAAAGTATGCTCCATTTTAAATTATTGTAATTATATTAATTATTATTCAAGAATGTTATAACGTACATTAAAACATTGGAAAACTGTCCAAGTTTCATTTGCCCATTACAATTTCTCAATTTCTCAATGTGTGCACTTGAGTGGTTGAGGGCCAAGCAACATGATTATTCCTACACTCACTATGTATGGCATATCTGTCCTCACTTCTCCCATTGGAGTCAAAATTCTATTTCTATCTCCTGCAGATTATCCAATCTGCAGGAGATAGAATCTTCTATAACAATAAACATTACACAATGACAAGTAATTCCAACTTTTCAAATTGCAGAACAAAAAATGCCTTGTCTGTTAGTGATCATTTTTGTTTATCGCACTTCCTAGAAATAGTAGAAATGAGACATTTGAATGCAGATGGGAAAAAAAAAAATTGAACAGTTACCCTAGTGATTGGCATAAGATGCATACTTCTTGGATAATAATTAACATAATTATGGTAATTTAAAATGGTAGCATTCCTTTTGGAAGACCCTATATTTAATAACAAATGCTCTGAAACAATGGTGAAAAGCACAAGAAAAATAAGCTCAATCTGGAGAGACCAAGTGGGTCTAACTTTCTTGATAACTTCACTAAACAAATTAATGTGAATACTTCAGAAATTACCACATCCAATTTATTGGAAAAAGTACCAGATTCAATCAATATTTCGTTGAGCCTATGTATATTAAGTCCCTGTTTTTGACAGGGACTTAATCATAGGCTCAACGAAACGAGCAGTTAGGATCAGGTGGAAGGAACACATCCGTGACATTCGACTTAATAAATGTTCCACATCCTTATCCACTTACGCGTCTGATCCAGAGATCGTAGCAGACTTCTCAAATGCCAAGTTAATCACCACCACCCCATATGCAGAACATCTCAAGTGGTTAGAGCAGATAGAGATATACAGGGCATACAA